CTGTTGGTGAGGTTTGGCCTCAGGACGAGGCAGGCAGACACCATCTAAAAAAAAAAAAATATATATATATATATATATATATATAGTATTTATTTTTGAGAGACAGAGAGACAGAGTGCGAGTGGGGGGGGGGGGTGGGGAGCAGAGAGAGAGGGAGACACAGAATCTGAAGCAGGCTCCCGGCTCTGGGCTGTCAGCACGGAGCCCAACATGGGGCTCACACCCATGAACAGTGAGATCATGACCTGAGCCGAAGTGGGAGGCTTAACCGACTGAGCCAACCAGGCACCCCGGGCAGACTCCATCTAATTCGGCACCCTACACCCCTGAAGTTTGCCTTGAAGCCGGAGACAGCAGGCTCTTGGGTTAAATCTGCCTCAAGTACATAGAATTTTCAGCACATTTTCCCAATCTTTTACTTATTATATACTTACCACTGTTCTTGGCAGTACAGCTTTTTACATTTTTTGGCATCATGCACCCTACATTTGCATTTCCTTTCTTTATAGCATTTTCTTAATGAAACAATTTATTCCTCAATATGAAAGTGCTTCCAGATTGAAAACGTTTCTAGTTTCCAGTATAGGGTGCCTAGAATCTCCCCCCCCCCCTTTTTTTCGGTTCCTTGCTTCAATTTATATTTTTTAAAACTTAAAATTCATTGAACGTTGGTTTGAAGACACGGGAGATGGGGAAGAAAACAAACCTAAAAGGCAGCACCAGGGCAGGAGAGCCGAACACAACCCAGATAAGAAACATGGTATCTATTTTGAAGTCACACCTCATAGATTCTTCCTGGAAGTCAATATCAGAGAGGAGAAGCGAAGTGTGATGTTATCTGTGTGCTTTAAAAAGACCTATGTTAAGCAGGATTCGTGTGCGTGCATGCATGCTTCCCCATGTGCCTGCAATGAAATCATGTTTTAAAGTGGATTCAGCTGCATTATATTTATAACCACGGAGTTGCCACCAGCTACCAGCATGTCTCCTTGTGGTGGTTCACTTGTCTTCGTGTCCTAATTCGGTTCTAAAGTGTGCAGCTTTAGCAGACTAGCGGTCTGCTAGTCCACTTAATGCTGGCTGTGGCTTCCTTCAAGTCCGGCTCTGGTCCCACACAGGTTTATGTTCTGACATGTTTGTCTCTGGTTGCAGCAGGAAGTTTGAAGGATAGGGGATTCAGACCCTGCCATGACGGTGAAAAATTAATCTGCACTGTCCTATCTGTCCTATCCTGTCTTATCTGGCCAGAGAAATGGACAGCTGGAGCTTAACCAGATCTGAATCTGAGGTTCATCTGCAAACATCAACTCAACAGCTACTCAGGGAAGCGAAAAAGTAATTAGTTAGTACTTCCTAAACCTTAAGAGTGCGTCAGAAGCACTTGAAGAAGGCAGTTTAAAATGCAGATTTTCAGACTCCACCCAGAGTTTCTGGTCTTAGTTTTTATCAGAGCCGGAGCCAGAGGATCTGCATTTTAAGCAAACACTTTAAAATTTTTTAATATTTATTTATTTTAGAGAGAGAGAGAGACAGCGCGCGCGCGAGCTGGGAAGGGACAGAGAGAGGGAGACACAGAATCCAAAGCAAGCTCCAGGCTCTGAGCTGTCAGCATAGAGCCCTTCGTGGGGCTCGAACTCACGAGCTGCGAGATCATGACCAGAGCCGAAGTGGGACGCTCAACCGACTAAGCCACCCAGGTACCCCTTAAGCAAACACTTCAATGTGATTCTGATGCTGAAAATTCAAAAACCACACTTGGCAGAGCACCAGGATTCTGAGGTTATGCCCTCTACCACCAACAATACGGTAAAATCATACCATCCCTCTGCCTTCTTTCCACTGGCCATCCCCCTTACGCTGCCTGTTTTGAAACATTGGGTGTTCCCTCAACGTTTCTCTTAACCCTCCATCAGGTTGCTAATAACTTGCACGTTTGGGAGGGACGCACATTGTGACTTAATCCAGTTTAACCCCTCTTTAGAGATGGCTGGGAGCCCCACCCATTCAGGCAGATGCGGGCTCCACCAACTGTTACTCTAGCTGGAAGTGTAGAAGTGTAGACTGCTACACACAGAACAACTTCCCAGGATGGTGGACGAGGCCCGTGTTCTATGACTTGCTCTGGCGCAAGCTCTCCCCCAAGTCCTCTGAAATCTTGTTGATTTGAGCACACACTCGAAGCTCACTTCTTCAGTGGGCATTCACTTTCCACTTCGTGTGCACATGCAGGTTCTCTTTGCTTAGTCCGACTCTTAAAAGTTGTCCAAGTTGTGTATAAACTTCTATCGTTCTGTACGCTTAGACACTAAACACTGTGCAAACTCTTCTGTGCACTGTGTGCACCTGCCCGTGCACACACACAGTCACACACGCATACAGTAAATGGCAGAGCATGCTACAAACGTATGGTCATATCAGCTCAGGTGTCCTCCCTAAGTCACTATAGCCCTGGAGACAGGGGTCTTGGCATCCAGGTGTCTGGAGTTAGTGGTCTACACGGTGAGCTCCCCTCGTCACTCCTTAGATGTTATCTATTGTTCTGGAAGACTCCAAAGAAATCATTAACTCCTTGGCCTTTACAAGGAGGTCTAGATGCCCCTTTTATGGTGCAAAGGGCATATGCTGGGAGTCAAAAGACCTCAGTTCAAATTCTCCCTCTGCCATTTACTAGCTACCTAATCTTAGAAAAGTTAATTCAATTCTTCGGGCAGGAGCTTCCTTATTACGATTAAATGAGAAAGCTTGTAAGACATCTAGGACTGTGCTTAAAACCTGCTAGGGAATGTTAGGTACCTGCTTTATTCTTATTTTCTATTTTTCTTTTTTTCTTTATGAAAGGAAATAGTCCTCCAAATTTCTCTCACACAGCATGTTAAAGTCAGAGTTCTTCTTTTTTTTATTTTTTTTAATGTTTATTTATTTTTGAGACAGAGAGAGACAGAGCATGAACGGGGGAGGGGCAGAGAGAAAGGGAGACACAGAATCGGAAACAGGCTCCAGGCTCCGAGCCGTCAGCACAGAGCCCGATGTGGGGCTCGGACTCACGGACCGCGAGATCATGACCTGAGCCGAAGACGGCCGCTTAACCGACTGAGCCACCCAGGCGCCCCTAAAGTCAGAGTTCTTGATTGCAGGTATCAGAAATAATCTCTGGCCAAAATACACAAGGAGGGAATTTATGACAGGATACTGGGGGGCTCGCAGAAATGCCAGGAAGGCTGAAGAGCCAGGTGCAGAGAAAATGGGCCGGAACCCAGAGAGGTCTGCACAAGCAAGACCACAGCCAAACTCACGCCTCAGAGCAGTCCGAACACGGGGTGCCCCTGCCCGCTCAGGGGGGAAACCTGATGCTCTGCTGTCTCTGCTTCTCTTATCCCATGCTCCGGAATCAGAAAGCTCTGAGTGAGAGGGTCCCTGGCTATGCTTGGAGCCTAGGCCTACACCCCAGCTGGAGTGGTTGGGGAGGTGGCTCTGGATTTCCTGGCTTCCACGGTTGGAGTTTTTAAAAAATAATGATGTAGGCCTGGTCTGAGGACCCACAGGGGGTCCCACAGCACCAGCTAAGAGGGTCCTTGGCTTTGCACAGGATAGAAAGCAAATGTGGGCTGAGAGGAAGTGAGAACAGAATGTATTGGAGACATAGAAAGAGTAGATACAGAGTGTCTGGGAGACTCGGAAAGGAAAAGGAGACTGAGTCTTAATCTTTGCTTGCGGGTCTGGTGTACATGTCCTTTCATGCATCCAGGAACCAGTCACAAATACGGACCAGTGCTCAGGTGTCCTCCATTAGTCACTGCGCCCAGGAGACAGGGGTCTTGGCATCCAGGCGTCTGGAGTGACTGGTCTACATGACAACCTCCCCCAGTCACTCCTTAGATGTTATCTATTGTTCTGGAAGACTCCAAAGAAATCATTAACTCCTTGGCCTTTACAAGGAGCATATACATGATCTGAACTGTAAAGCATGTGTATGGTGGGGGTGATGCAGGCGGTAGTAGGAATAAAAATAGGAAAAGGAGCAAACCCGGTCCTTCCTGGGTCCCTTCAGTTTCCCCATCTCAATAAGAAGGGAACTCAGATCTCAGGCAGTCAGGAAAGATCAGTGTCCAGAGACTTTTCTCCCCATTTCTAATGTTCACATCTCACCCCTGTTTCACATACACATTGATTCTGAAGTGTGTAATCTTTCTCTCCAGGAACTCCCCTCAAGCTTAGAACCACTCTGTTTCAGAGGCAATTTTGTACCTGCCTTGTCTCCTTTTCTCTGCCCAGAATTCCCTACCCTGCCCCCTTTCCACTACCAATCCCTGAACAGTTCAAATCTTGCCCATTCTGCAAATGCCAGTGGAGATGTGACCCCTTCTTTCTTGCGGTGCCCCTCCAACCCCCTAAATTGCTCCTTCCATTATGTTCTTAGGGCACTTTGCCTAGGTCTCCGTTATCACCTTCGCTTTGTTTTACTACCACTATGTCTTAGGCGTTTAATGGCCTGACCTTCTTCCCTCTCCTGGACCCAACGTGAAGCTCTTTAACTGCAGGAAGTCGGTCTTATTTATCTTGTAGCCTCGGTTCTTAGTACACAGTAGAGGCTTAATATATTTTTGTTAAGCAAAGCAGAAGTTTCTTCTCCCTTGTCTCTCAACACATACGTTCAGACACTTTTCCTATGCACATGCGACAGACCCATTTAAAAAGTGGAAATCAAGGCGCCTGGGTGAAGCCTCTGACTTCGGCTCAGGTCAGGCTCTTAGAGCTCACGAGTTGGAGGGCCACATCGGGCTCTGAGCTGACAGCTGAGAGCCTGGAGCCTACTTCCGATTCTGTGTGTCTTTCTCTCCCCCTCCCCCACTAGTGCTGTTTCTCTCTTTCTCTCTCTCTTGAACAAACTTTTTTTTTTAAAGAAATAATCCATGTGAATGCACTCAGCAAACTGTACCGTTTGGACAAACGCATTTGATCTTAGCCAAAAGGCCCGGAAGCGATTAAGCGTTGGACAAGTGTAAGCGGTTACAATGGTTTATTTCTCTCCAGTTTCCCCTATTTTCTGTTAAAGAGCTCTATGCCCTTGGTATGCCTCACAACGTTTTCACAGGAGAAAGTTGCAGCGTAGGTCTCCCTGCTACCTTTCCCGATGCTGGAGGATCTCTGGGTTCCTTGAACGGCCTCCTGGCCTCAGAGATCGCCCAGAGAACTTGCTAGGAGGAGTCCCGGGACAAGTTATGCCAAGTCCCCGCAGGTCCCCCCCTCCCGCGTCTGTCCCTCCCCCGGTGCAGGCTGGCCACGGACACCTGCGTCTCCTGACTCCCCCTCCCAGAACCCCCACTCCGTCGGGGCTCGGGTTCCCGGACGTGGGCCTCCCTGGGAGGAGCAGCGCCCGCGGCCCCCGGCTCTTCCCAGCACCCTCTCCCCCAGCGTACTTTGTTACTCGGCGCGACCTCGGGGCCGGCAC